AAAAAATTCCGAAGAATGCGACAATGTTTTTAAGAACTTCTAAAAAAAAAGTCGAAACAGCAAAAAAAAAAAAACTAAATACAAGAACCGAATATAATAAAATTCTCGAGATGATAAACCCAAATAATTTGCAAATAAGAAACTACAATAAACAAAAAAATAATAAAATATTTAAAATATGCAACATATAAACTATGATTATTATTATTGCTTTTATGGCAAAGTCAATCATAAACAAAATAAAATAAGTTGCAATTTGAATTAGAGACTTAACGCCAATTTACCCGCCACATTCATTAATTGCTATAATACAAAAAAAACAACTCTTCTCATCCCATTATCATTTCCCATTAACCTTTTGTCTAATTAATACTTTGTCTTAATGAGTCTATCGTGAAGTGGCTAATGCCACAGGTGGAAAATTATCCATAGTGTTCGAGTTATTTAAGGGAGATGACAGTGATGTTGTTGTTGCATGATTGACATGATGATGATTAGGTATCGTATAAAAGTTGTTCATTGAACTAGGATGCGTTGACTTTTGAGCAATTCTAAAATCATCAATATCCTAATAATTTAAAAAGTGGTGTGTATTTATTTAGTTCATAATAATAATAATAAATTAAAAAAGAGGAAATTTATAAATATAAGACATGACCAATTTAATTACCTTAAATTTTTCTAATGTTTTCTTTAATTGATCACATACTTCGATCTTTCTCTTATTCTTATCTTTTCTATAATATAAATAAGCCCAGAATTTCTCGATGCCATAAAGACGACCATTCTTGTGATCATTTAATGTCAGTTCCTGGAAATCATCAAATACGTCTTGGCGATACTTTTTCTCAAGACCATAAGAGTAAAACCGGAATAAACATTCCAGGCCATAACGATAATTAGAATTAGCATCTTCAACCGCGAGTTTCTTAAACTCGGAGTACATACGTTTGTTATAATGTTCTCGCAAGAAATGAGACCAAAATCTAAAGAGAGTATTCATCTCTTGTGATTGTCCGATTCCCTGTCGTTTGCGTTCTGAAATAACGAAATAGATAGAGATATGGAATTAATAAAATATGCATCATCTATAATTAAAATTTTCAAAGTAATTAAGTTGGAACTATCTTGTAAACCTTTCAAAGCCTTAATATGGTATTTAGAGTACTTTTGTTGGATAAATCCATTGTCCTTTAATAATTCATGACTCGGATGTTGAAAAGTAGGGAACGAACGTGCCAAATCTGCCGAAGATGATAATTGTTCATTTGAAGAACAATTATTATTGATAAGAGGTGAGCCATTTGCGAGTGGCGATGATCCCTCGGAAAGATGATCCCTACATAATTCATTTATCGAATTAGCATTATAAATACGTAAAAAAACCATATCAACAGTTATAATATTTACCCAAGTACCCAACCGACAGCATCCTGAGCATAATATTGACGTGTATCAGGTATGTGTCTATGGTTAGTCTTAGCATTTGCACCAAGTGGAAGCTGCGGGGTACCTTTAACAGGCCAGAAACGCGCCGGTTTTTTCTTGCTGTAATGCATTTATTGGAAATTAGTTAACCTTCAAGCTAATAATTTATTAATACGGAAATGAACATACCTTTTTTTGTCATTTTCTGATGTAACTTTATTCGAGTGATTTGTCTCAGAATTTAAACTTGGTGTGCCTTCTTGTGACTTTGTTTCTTCACTAAAAACAAATAATATTAAATATTCAATTAATGTGAAGACTATAATTTTCATTTTTAGTAGTAATAAAATAATAGAAATTTACCTAATTATATCTGCTTTACGATTACCAGAAGTACTATTAACTTGTCTAAGGCAAGACAAAATGAATACAATTATTTAAACAAATAAGACATTTTAAGTAATGATTATAAAAAAATTATACACACTTTTTGCGTAAGTCATGTTCGTAGTGATGTAGGCCCTCATTGATTATTTCAATGACTTCTTCTAATAATTTTTTTTTTATACAATGTAATTAATTTCAAAATTATATATATATTTTCTTACATATAGTAATAAAACTAACCGTTCAATTTATCCCTCCTTTTCTGTGTAACAATTATGATACTTTCTACAGTATCATCATCAACTTCATCATCGTCTTCATCCTCTTCATCTGAGGTTGCATAATATTTTTGAATATTATTCCCCGAATCACCGTTCCAATCTTCATCAAATTGGAAAAGCTCCTCATCAACAATAACGGAAGTTTGCTTTGGAGAGTCACGGGGAGATTTTGGTGTCATATGAGGCGAACGTTTTTTTGTTTGAGAAATCCAAGTATTAACAGTATTAGTAGAATTGTCTTCGGAATTTCCTTCCGGAATAGTTGGCATTTCCTGGTTTTCCTTGTTTTCATCTTCATCTTGTAATAAATTGTTTTCTTCTACAATAATCTCATGTTGATTATGAATATTTGAAGTATCCATCATTGTTTGCTCTGAAAATTGTTGTTCACCATCCTCGGGCAAATCGTTCTTAAAATATTGATAAACAAATCAATAATAGCTCCTTGATATCTTTTTAATACAAAATATACTTACTTGTTTCGGTAAGAGCCAAATTTTCCAACCATCTCTCTTTCTAACCTTGTCACCGTTAACCTCTACAGTGTAGCTAATGAGGAGCGCCTTAAATTCAAATTAATTTTAATTAGCTAATAATGCTTACAATTAAGAGGATGAACAAAAAAAATGAAAATAACATGTACCTCACGGACAAGTTTTTCATCCATCGTCAAAGCCTTTACACGATTAAAACCGGCTAACAAGGAAATAAGCACATAACCTTCAGAGTCCATCTATGAATAAAGGAATAAAATATTAATTAAATTAAATTTTACAGTATAAACGATAAAGGGGACTTACATTACTTCGTAAATATATATCTTTGCAGAGATTTTCAATACTAAAATAATATTCTCTAAAAATATAAAGCAACCACGAATTAAAAATGTTTATATTATAAAATGAATAAGTTGCAAAATACTTACATTTGTTGTAAAATATAGTATTTTAGGAATGTGACATCATAGACGACGCCGACTTTTGATCCATATAAATTGTTATACTGTTGTGTACCATGATGACCATGGTGATTATTGTTACCGTGTTGACCATGATGTCCATTATTATGATGTCCATATCCTGTTGAGTATGATATTGTTGCTGAACGTGGATGTCCGCGTCCGCCATTATAAGAACGGCCTAAGTTGTGAAAATGTATTATCTTGTTAAATATCTTAATCAAAATAAAGGAGAATTAATTAGATGGTGTAATAACATCAAATCTAACCTCTTCCTCTTCTTCCACCACGAAAATGTGAATTAGTATTAATGTGATGACCAATTTGCCCATTATTATCATTTGACTGTGAATAACGACGTGTATAATCCCTTGTTGGTGGAGGTACACTAGCACGACGTCTACTAGGACTAGTATTTCTGGGTGATTGATTATGTTCTGCTTCAGAATTATTATTATTATTATTAGGCCTATCATTTGATTTTCGATGTTCTCGAAGACCAACGTGATCTTCACTACGACGACGAGAAGGTTTTGATCGTTCATGACCGGGTAATGGAGTATTGTGAGTAATATTCGGTATATACCGTACCCATTTATCTTTGCCTTTTAAAAAATTATAATATTAGTAACTATATCAAATCAAATCAACTGACAACGATCTAACAGGATCGTACAAAAAAAAAAAAAGAGTAAGGAAATTAAACCTTTTTTAGAAGAACTCTCTTCTTTTTTGGCATTGGAGTCATTAATTTGTTTCTTTTCCGAAGAATCGACCGTTTCCTTTTCTTTATCTTTAATTAAAACTTCGGCGGGAGCAGGCCAGCTTGTTTGATCTTCCAATGGTGGTAATATTGGTGAAGATTTCGTTCTCCTTGAATCTTTTTTATTATATTTTCTAGAATCTTTTGTAATTTTATTTTTTTTTAAAAAAAAATAAAAAGATAATTTTATCAATTTTAAATTCAATTATTTCTCTTCTCACAATTATGATAAATGATTCAATTGACGAACCACTTTTTGAAAAAGAAAAAAAAAATAAAAAACTTTTTAAGAAACTATAAGTTTCGAATGTAATGAACGTAATACATGATAAAATTCATTTATCATCTTCATAATTAAAAAAAACTGTAAGTTTAATTGAACATACCATCAAAAGACTCATTGTGATCATTATCTTGATTGTCTGTTCTTTTACGACTATCAACTATTACATCTTTTTCTTTATCATTTTTATCATTGGAAACTGGGGAATCCGTCGACTTTTGGGCACTCATCCTTGCCTTCCACACGTTTACAGGCGGTATTGGAGCCGGAGGAGGTATTATTTTTTTTGATGTTGTTTCATTTTCTATATAGTTTTGATTCTCATTATTATGTTGTACAGTTTCTTTAACTTGCTCTGACGGTTGTCGAACAGAAGATCGAATTATATTTGATCCATTAGTTTCCAAATCACTTTTAATTTTTGTACCGGTAGGTTTGATCAGATTAACACCGCCAACACTAGAACCAGCGAGATTATTGTCAGGTTGCGCAGTTGTTGGACTAACCATACTTCACTTTATAAACCGAGCACGTAATAAAAAAAGTAGAAGAAAAGGTTTTCTTAGTTTGATCAGAAGAAGGAAAGTCACCAAAGTTTGAAGGGTGAACCAAGAAAGGTTCAAGTAAGAAAAAAAAAAAAAAAAAAAAATTTTTTTTTTTTGAAAAAAATCACTCTTTTTATTTCATCTTGTTAAAATAATAATCAGACTTTACTGATAGAACCCGGACCATGTACTGTTACCCCTTGAGTCACAACGCTAAAAAAGTCTAATAAAGTATTTGTTGCATCGAAATGACATAGTACAAGATCTTTTTACGTTGACGTTAACACGTTTAAATTGTCACACGAGCGAGAAATTTTGATCATTAGAAAAGTTTTCTTAAGCTGATTAAAAAAAAATATTCCCGTGTAAGCCACAATTATTTTGACAAATTCTTAAACTTCCAGTATTCGATGAGATCTTCCGAACGCCCCATATCGAAAATCAATTAAGGATCTTTTAAAATCATGCCATCACAGGTGATAATCGTCGTTTCATCGTTTCATAGAAACATCATTAATGATAAATAGTTATGATCAACTTGTTTTGATTTATAATTAAAGAAAAATCTTTTAAAATCTCAAAATGTAGCCCTATTAATTAAAAAGATGGAATCTGTAGGACGAAATTGATAAGAAAATTTCAAAAGAATTTTTAGTTTAATAAAAATTTTTTTTCCCTGATGAAAAATTTTTTTTCAAAAATTTTTAAGATGGGATTTTTTTTTTTTAATAAATCCCGAATTTTCGCGCAATCACATGATTAAGTATAAAGACGCGTACAATATTTTGTCGCACAATTTCCATTAGAAGTTAAGTTTCCTTATCTATTAATAATGCTTTTGTTTATGGCGCTTAAAATTTGGTCTCCGGCTTTTCACGTGCTATAATCTTTATGAAAAGAGGCGATTAGATATAATTGACGTGGAGTAATTAAAAGGTAAAAAGGATTTAAAATGAACAATTTAGTTAAGAATATAGTTAGTTATATGGATAATTTTTATAAAAAAAAATTTTAAATTCTTGATAATTTTTCCTTTTTTTTTTCTTTTTTAAAAAATGAGATAAGAAAGGTTTTATATTTTTACTTTTAATTAGATTAATTAGATTATCAAAAAGTTTTTTTTTTTTTAAAAAAAAAAAAAAAAAAAATTCTTATTATTAAATATATTCTCAATGATCAGTTTTCATTCATCCATATATACCATATATATATTATATATCCCCCCATGGTTTAGAGTAGATGCAAGTTGTAACCTCAAGTTACAATCTTAATTTGTCCACTAATATCTCAAACTACAAGTGTTACAAATTGATAATATGGGAATATTTTAGCCGCGTGGAATAAATATATCTGCAAGTAATACTAAAATAGACGCAGTACGATAATAAATTAATTTTTCCATTCTAAGGATATTGATAATATTAAAAAATACGTAGATAACAATGGAAATGATTGTAAACATGACGATATATAATTTTTTGTGTAGCAAAACATCAAAATTTTAAAACGGAATTACGGAATTACGGTAAAATATTTACTCGTTACCCGCGTTAGATGATAATCATATCAAATTTTGTGGCGCAGAGCCGCAGAATAATTCAATAATTCATTCGTTTTTAATTAATTAATGGTTAGTTTGATAGTCTCAAATGTCGTGTTAGTTAACCTTATAATTTCTATCAGCCTAGCCTGCCAAGTAGACTAACTGAACTTTAAATTAAATATTAATTTTTTTCTTAATAATCAATCTTTTTGTACCATTCCTCTCGCGATCAATAGTGTCCTTCACGTAACTTAAACTGATTAATAATAACAAAATTTACACGGTAATTTATTTATACGGTTAATGATTTTCGTTTTTTTGTTTATTTTTCAAATAAAACCGCTAATTATTTTGCAACCTTTTATTTGTATTTTGAACTTTAGAAATATAATGCCGGGACGAATGCTTTTTCGATACACTCGTGAAGAGGTGGCGAAACATAATACAACTTCAGACCTATGGATTATTCATAATAACAAAGTTTATGACGTGACAGAATTTGCAATGGATCACCCAGGTGGTCCAGAGTTAATTAAAGAATGGGGAGGCAAAGACGTGACGAAAACTTTAATTGACCCAATTTCACACGAGCATTCCGAAACTGCATATGAAATTTTAGGAGATTTGTGTATAGGAGAAATAGTTGAGGGACCTAATAACAATAATTCTTTGAATTCAATGGATAATAAGATTTTTACTACTCGTCGATTTGATGAAAAAATTGATCAATTTTATCCCGAAAACACTGATGTTAATATTGATCTCCAGAAAGAAAAATTTCTTAACCTTAATAGACCATTATTTGTTCAAATGTTTAATTGTAATTTTAGTAAAGAATTTTACCTTAAACAAATTCATCAACCACGACATCTTCCATATTCAGCAAAATTATTTGAGAACCCTTGGTTAGAGTTATTAACAAAAACTCCATGGTATGCGATTCCAATAGTGTGGCTTCCAATAGTATCATATCATATATTCATGGCATCAGATTTAGGATCAAAACCTGTTAGTATATTATTTCTTATTGGAATTGTAATGTGGACTTTATTGGAATATGGAATTCATAGATTTTTATTTCACGTTGATGCAATTTTACCTGATCATCCTTATGCTCTTTGTGTGCATTTTACTTTGCATGGAATACATCATTATTTGCCAATGGATAAGTAAGTTTTTTTTTTATTAGAGTGATACCTTTTATTTAAAATCAATTCTATTATGATAACATATATATTTATTTAGGCTTCGTCTTGTAATGCCACCAGTTCTTGGATTTGCTATTGCAATTCCGATTATACAGATTGTATATTCGATTTTTCCAGTTTCAATTGGACATGGTTTAATTGCAGGAGCAGTGTTTGGTTATATTTGTTATGATTTAACTCATTATCATCTCCATCATGCTAAACCATTTGGTAAACACTTGAGGGAAATGAAGACTTATCATTTGGCTCATCATTATAAGAATTATGAATTAGGTTATGGAATTACAAGTAAAATTTGGGATACTTTTTTTGGAACACTTTTGGAATAAATAAAATCACTTTTGGAGCAAATTAAAGTTTACTGATGGTGAGTCTTGGTTCATTTTTACAAAAGCATTTATTATTATTTTTTTTTTTTTCAAAAGGATCGAAACGTTAATTAGGTAAAATAATACGTAATTTAGAATTTATTATGTATTTGTTGTATATTTGCTAAGAGCGTTATAGACTTATTAATAATTATTTATAAATTTGTTCTCATGAATTTGAGGGTGAATCTGAGGGTGAATCTGAGGATAAATTTGAAAATTACTTTTATTTCTTTTATATATATATATATATATACATATATATATTAATAAGTATCTTTTTTCTTTTCTTGATGTACAAAATTACTTTTGCTGTTTTGCTGTTAATAATCAACTCTAATAAAAAAAAAATAGTTATATATTTTTAACATTAACTAAATGTACATGTGAGTAGGTGATACGTGGATGTATGTTCTAGAAAGAAGGGAATTAATAATTGAGTTTTAATAATAATTCAAATCTTTTTATCATTGTAGAATTATAAGTGTGAAATAGGGGGATGTCAGATGGCATGCTTACCTTTAGAAATTGTGATGATCATATTCTTCAATATATCATGTCTGATGTCTCCAACATTCTTACCATCAACAAAGGGTTAAGCTAATCCTATGGGGGTTAGAATTTCACCGATATGAAATAGGGGAATAGAACAGATTAGGAAAGCAAGATGTGTGGGGATTATAGTCAAATAATGATCATTGTTTATTGTAAAATAAAACATGATAGGGATATAGAAGATAAAGGAAACCAAATAGCACAAAACATTAAATTTTCAAGAGATCAAAATTGGAATTTGTAAAAAGGAATCAGTTGAAGCAACAGTTTTGAGTCCAGGTTATAAGTTTAAATGATGATATATTTTTTTTCATTGCACTCTCATGATTATATAAACGTATAGTTCACTTATTGGAGAGTAAACAGTACAAAGGAGAAGGGATATTCATCATCTTGGATTAAAGAAGACTAATAGTCAAATGCTTTGTTAAGAACATTTACTCTTTTGATAACATGGCAAAAAGTCAGAGGGATCGATCATTCTATTATTCAAAAATGAAATTACACTTGAAAAGAAAGAAAAAAAAAAGGTTAATTAAAGGAGGGGATTGTATAATTTTATATTTTTCCGGGATTTTTATGATTAAGCACCTTTAATTCATCCAACCAATGGTTTAATATGATGATGACAACATTTTAGATAAACCACGTGATATAGGTATGTGTTTTTTCAATTTTAAAATCATGTGCGCTCGCACATAATGAATTTTCCCCATGAAGTTTAATAATCATATGAAAACTAAGTAATATTTGGAAATAAACATGTGGGGCGTTTTGTGTTCCAAAAGAATTTTTAATAATTGATTACAGCGGATAATGTGAACAGACACATTCATTTTAATAATAATAATAAGAAGAAAAAAAAAAAAAGAGGAGGGAAACATACATTATTAAAAATTCTCATTCATTCCTAACATTTCCATTCAACAATTTTTCAAAAAAGTAAAAATTTTTTCATTATTTTGAAAACATAAGTAAATTCTCTTACGACACATTGCATTATTTCGGCTTTTCTTTTGATTGTTTGTTATTTGATTGTTATTTTTTTTTTTTTTTTTTGACGCCCAGGTACATTTTTTACTTAGTGTACAAATCTAGTTAAACGGGCATAAAAAAACGCGTGGGATTAATAAAGAGACTATTTTTGATAAAGAGCAACCAAAAATTTTTTTTAAGAGAACGGAGTTAATATCTATAAAAAAAAAAAAATCACTTGATAAAGATTTTCCCGTTTTCTCGTTTAATTTAAGAATGTATCACATTAGAAAGAAAAAATCACATAATTGGTTCTATCAAATTTTTTTTTACAATTTGATCCACAATGATAGGGACGATAAGGAAGATAAGGATAATTGGGATAATTAGGATAATTGTAACGTAACCCTACGTATCTTTTCATAATTATCACGTGACAAATATAATTTTGGCATAAATATAATTTTAATTTAGGCCAAATGAATTATTTTGGGGGAGATGAAAATCATCCCCAAAAGAATAACGAAACTGACATAAAATTACATTTAGAAAGAATCTAAAGAATCTAAGAATCTTATAGTTCTTTGTGAATGATTACATGTTATATTCGCGAAAAAAAAAAAAAAAAATATTTTTTTTTTTGGGGGAGAAAAAATAAACAACGAAAAAACCGAAAACGTTGAAATTAAAAACAAGTTAGACTTTTAATTATTTATAGTGATTTAGTTGAAAATAATGTGAAAATAATAAATATGTAAACAATAGTAATAATTGATAATAACGAAGTAGATCTTGAATGAATATGTTTTCAAGGTTATCATATGAATTACTTTATTTAGATTAGAGGAAAAAGGGAGAATATAATAAAATTTTGAAAAAAATAGGGTAAATTAATAAATATTACATGAAAAAAGATATTTGCGATAAAAATCCTCGAGAAATATATATTTTATCAAGATTATAAGTTTCCCGTTAAAAAATTACACGTTTTTTTAATGATTTTTTTTTTTTTGGTATTTTTTAAGCTTTTTTTATCAAGATTACAAGATTATGATAACATACGTGTGATTTTTGCTCACGCTATAAAAATACCGGATCTGAGTGGAAATAAATAAAGGAAAAATAAATACTTAATTTAGTAAAGACTTTAATTAATAAATTATAAATTAAAAAAAAATTTATAATATTTTTCTTGTTGCCTTTTTTTGATTTGATTTTTTTTTAAAAACAAGTTTCGTTACTCGCTTTTTTGTTTGATTCATTCGCACGTACAAAAATATCGAAAGAAATGATTTTTTTATAAACTAGAAAAGATTCTTGTTAACTTGTAAAAAAAATTCTCACAAGTTAGAAAAAATTTTTTTGCTGTTGATTATTTCCTATTAAAAAAAAATGCCATTATTTTCTCATTATATTACAAAAATATAAAATACATCCATTTTACCAAAAAAAGAAAGAAATTTTCATTAATCTTCAAAATCCCTTATCAAATTTTTTTTTTTTTTTTAAGGGTAGATAAAAAAAATTTTTCTCCACGACAATCATCACATAAATTTTTTTTTTTTTTTATGTTATCAGAAAGAAAAAAATATATATACATACATACTTACTTACTTACTTACATACATACATATATATATACATACATGCATAACATATAATATATATATGTATATATATATATATATATATATGCATATATTCTATTTTATTTTACCATTTATATATATAAAAAAAGCCCATTCCCCCCTTGTCAGAAAAAATTTTTTCGATACTTTATCTTATGATCAGGTTCTACTTTAAAAATATACATATATATATTTTTTATTTACATTTGCGAATTTAGAATTAACGTTTAATGGAAGGCTGGAAACAACCTTTTTTTATTATATAATTTTTTTTTTTTTTTTTTTTTTTT